TTCAGTGTGTCCCCCCTTTGGTCTCTGTTAAATCCTCCTGTTCTCGCTCTGTATCTGAATACTTCACGTTTAACCAACCAGCCATCCTGCTTCATATCCCACCATTTCCCACCTCTCCATTTGTCTACCTCTCCTTCTTTTAATCTCTCCTCTGCTGCTTTGTGTTCAGTCACCTTGAGGCAGTGGGCCACAGCTGGAATACCAGCTTTTCTGGTCAGCTCCTACTGCAGCATATGAACAAAGGAGCCCTGGGATGCAGGCTGCTCTGGTAACACAGTTCAACAGCGTGCACCAGTGTGAGCGTCTAGAAATACTTGCTATCTGTCAATAGGACAACAGTGATGGGAGTAAGTGTAGGCCTGTTGTTTTGGTTCACTAAAATAGGAAATGTTTAATTGTGCTAACTTTATCAAACAAAGTAATCTAGTAAGTAATTTCATTTTTATTTGATACAACTTATATTGTTTTTATTGTTATTTCTGTTGTGTTTTTATCATTTTGAGAGCCCAAGATGATACCTTGGTTGGGTTTCTTAAAGTATTTGTTCAATAAACTAAAAACTGTATCACTAAATAAGTTTGGAAAATGCATCTTGCAATACTTATTGTGAAAACAACTCAATAAGGACTATGTGGTAATTTAAAGAATAGTTTTAAGGGGCCTTTAAGTTTAGTTAAGTTGAATTAAATCAGTTATCTACTGTTAAGTTATTGCAAAATGTTCATAAAATGTTCAAATTTGGACTAAATTAATGTTTAACTCCCTTTTGTAAAGTGTCCAATTAGTCATGATTTTCATAGCGTGTAATGTGGTATGTATTCAGCAAAATAAGAGGATAATAATTGTATCTATCAACATGCAGACATATTCTGACTGTGTCTGTATCCATATGTGAGACTTAAGCATGAACGAATACATGATACACCTCACAGCGGCAGCTCAAACACATCTCCTATCCATCCACCCACCAAGGTCCTTCATTCATTCTGCTTCTGATCACATCATGAGCCAGCCCTTCTTATCTCCTCTGCCCCCCCACTCCTTCTTCTATCCATCACTTATCCATTCACGAGGCAAAGGGACACGTACAGCTCAGTGAACCCTGAGTGAAACAGAAACACAGAGCAAAGAGTGGTATTGTTTGTCTGTTTACACACCATGAATCACAGCTTACTCTTGTTTGTTTTGTCTGCGATGATTCCTCCTTTTTCATAACTGCTGAAATGTATAAGATCCATCCATCAAATCCGCTCAACATCAAACCCTGCTTCACCACCCCCCTCCAACATCCCTTCTTCCTCCATCCCTTCAATCAATCCTCCCCTTCACCTTCACATGACAAAACACCTGAAAAGGACGCACCCCATACACCCCCTTCTCTATTTCTGCACTTCCCCTGTAACCCGTTCCACAATCCCTCCATCACATCTGACCTTGCCTTCTTCAAAGGTCAAACAGCTGGAACGGATCAATGCTTTTAGAGATCATTGCTGCAGAGGTGGAGAAGGAGAAGTGAGGAGGGGGAAGACAAAAATGGAGACGTATGAGTGAGAGGGGGAGTATAGGCTTTGGTATGGAGGAGGGGGAGGGTGATGAGAGGGGGAGGACAGGAGGAGGAGGAGGAGGAGATGGGCAGCGAGGAGGTTTAAAAAGAGAGGAGGGAGAAATAAATCACTGCATCAGCATTCCTCTGGGTCTCTGTAGAAGCAGCAGGAGGGAAGGTGATAATACATGGGGTGAGGGAGGGAAGGAGGAGTTGGTCTGTGAAGAAGGAGTGGGAGAAAATGAGAATAGGACAGAGAAATTAAGGAGAGAGAACTAGTCCCTTCTCCTTGTTCCACTTAATTGCCGTGAGTGTCTGTTTGCCCACAGGGCAGTAAACAATAGCTGTGTAGCTGTGTGTGTGTGTGTGTGTGTGTGTGTGTGTGTGTGTGTGTGTGTGTGTGTGTGTGTGTGTGTGTGTGTGTGTGTGTGTGTGTGTGTGTGTGTGTGCTAAACATACTCTAGTAGACAATGTGTTGAGATAGCACTATGTAATGTAATAGCATAGCTTCAGTGATAGCTACAATTGTGAAGTGAAGGCAGTGTGTGTAAATTACAGGTCATTAAGATAACCATTTAGCTAGATTACAGCATTACAATATCATGGAAAACAATGGGCAAAAAAAGACACCTACGTATTTTTTATAAACCCAACTTTCTAAGACATGCTGTAGAAATGCCATGTTCGTGTAAACGAGACTTTTAGCACATTGTTATGCTTTTTGAGTATTTTTCAATCAGTTGTACACTTGTAACTATAGTCAATGTGGTGTTGGGCTCTAATAACAGCCAAATCACACAAAGACTGAATGCTAACATGCTCCTCATGCTAGGTTAATATGCTGCGCTAACCATCTTTTGTATACAATGATGCCTCTTTTGTTCATCATTTAATAAAAAACATTTAGTAAAACGTGTATTTCTGTTCAACTTGTTCTACCGGATGCATGCTCACACCAACATTGAATTTATGAGCAAAATCAGTTACTTTGTAGATAAAAAAAACACCTGGCGATCTGCTACGTTTATATCTCTCCTAATTGTGATAATTGGACCTGTTTCTCTTTCAGTTTTGGTGCATAAAAGCATTAAGATTGTAAGGTGTGCAGAAACTAACCCGTCATCAGTTCCCAGTCAAATATCACGGCCTGCAGCAGCAGAATAAAGGTCTAGCTCAACAGCGCATGGCACTGTAAAGAATATCAATATCAGACAGAAGCCTGCAGCCGCCACCAGGACACGATCAATAATTCACAAACCTCCTTTACACCTGTGAATCCCAAAAGGCTTCATTGTGAAGTGTGATTTTTCTCTCTGGCTGCCTTTTTGTACTGGTTGTTTGTCTTTTTTTAACACACGTTTATTTTTCATGTCTTTATCTAATTCCTGTATTTCCAGTTTGTGGGTAGTTTTAAATTCTCCTATTTATATTGTATGATCAAAGATGAGACACAGATGAGTGAGACATTCCTGTGTGGATGAACACACACACACACACACACACACACACACACACACACACACACACACACACACACACACACACACACACACACACACACACACACACACACACACACACACACACACACTTCCCTTTATGGTATCAGCTATGTGAAGAATCCACTTCTCTGAAGGGCCAGCATAACTCAACACAACAGACCCAAACAAAGCTTATGAAACCATCTTAGTCGGAGAGTTAGCAAACAACTAGAGAGCTTCAAGGCTGAGTGATCAGTACAATAGATGAGCAACTGTGTTGTAAACTATCTGGTTCTTTGATTTAAGTCAAAGCAAGCCCTTCCTGTACTTACAAACTCAAGGAGAGGAGTTAACTGTTTGTTAAGGACCATCAAAGCACCTAGCTTAAAATGGTGTCACATCCACTGCTAAAAGCTAGCGCCAGCAACGGTAACATTCAAATCCAAATCGCAATGTGTTTAGAATCCTCTACAATTGTGATGTATGCTTCTTACTGGCTTATTTCCTATTACAGTGGCTGCTGAAGATCATAGTAATATTTAAGGTGTTCCTCCATACCAAACTCTTTATCTCAAAATGATTGAATAAATGCGGAAATAATCAACACTGATTGCCATAACATATTTGTATTGTCATGTTTTCCAGGGGACTTCAGAGTTTCTAAGTAAATAAAAAACATCTTTCAATGCAAACGCAAAACATATCAAATGAACTTTAAAAACTGGGAGAATTTCAATTGAGGTTGATGCATCAGCTATTTAACAGTAATTAAATGAGGATTATTTGCAATGACAATGAGATTTAACTATGAATACAACATCAATGGTGGATGGACGAAGTATCTGCTGGTATATTACTCTTTCTGTGCCTTTGCAAATCTCATGCATACAGGTCATGTTTGGAATGAATATTCAATGGTAAATAAATGATTCACCAAATCTGCCAAATGCTCCATTTGACTATAATCAGTGAACAAGAAAATAACCAGCTACAGTTGCTTAGGCAGACTTTGGGTGCACTCAGTGCCCCTCCCAGACATTTTTCCAGCCATCCATTAACAGCAAACTGTCATTTGTATTGAGTGAACACACACTCTGGCCAAAGAGGAGCAGACAGACCCAGATCTCATGCCAGCAGGTCAGCCATGCGTCCAACTCTGACCCACATCAGGGGCCTGGTCCGGGGCCAAGGCCAGGAGCATCAGCCCATTAGACAGTGAGGAAAATAAACAATGTACGAGAGAGAGAGTGAGGGCTGGAAAGATTGAAAGGAGGGAAACAGTGGAGAGCTCAATCTTGCGTAACTCAACTAGGCTATAGGTCCAAAATCACTTTATTTTTTAAATGTTTTCCTTTCAAAAGGTAGTGCAACTCCAACTCCATTTAGTTTATTTTCACTTCAGCTGGCCCTGACATCAAATCGTGTTTTCTCCTTATATTGCAGTGTTTTAGTGGCTACACTTGGTAAAACAAAGTCCCGTGGCAGCAAAGTGGCAGAAATCACTAGATGAGAGCAGAGACGGGCTCTCCTGAGGCGCACAGTAAACATTGATTTTCTTCAACAAACTAAAAGGCAGGCAGGCTAAATAAGGATCCGCCTGAAACTCAATGTTTAGTCTGAAATGTCCAGGTTGGTTCAAACTCAAATACACCCTTTTGTCTAAACTTGGAACATAGCAATCATCTTCAGCCGGTGTACTAAATAGCAATGCAGTACATTGGATGTCTCTAGCTGCCACACGAAGCAACTAAATGCTGTTTACTGCGAGGAATATCACAGAAAACACCCAGAAATCTTCAAGAAACTGCACCAATCACAAAATAAGTAGCCTTTCAGCTGCAACAATATTTCACATATGTGTAAGCAGTCATGCTAACAAATAGCATTTTTCCCATTTAATGATGCAACCCGCACTGCTTAACACCGAATGGCCACTCCTGGCTGCATATGGCAAAGTTATACGATTTGGTTCCTACCTTCTCAATCTCCTGCTGCAGGACCTGTTTGGCGACCTCCAGGTCCTGCAGGCGGACCCGCAGCTCCTCGTTCTCCTGCTCGTGGCGACTCCTCTTCTTTTCCACGCTGTCCAGCTGCTTGTGTAGACGGATGGACACGTCCTTCGCCACCTGAGAGGGAACGGAAGGAGGGAATTAGTTTGGTTTCATGTATTGACCTACTAACTATCGATAAAAGTGTAGCTACAATATGAAGTCAATACTAATTAGTAGGGATGTAACGATATATCGAATATGGCGGTAAATAGATGTCTCAATGCCGTCGTGAGACTGACAAGATATACCACGATTTAAAAAAAAAAATTTAAATAATTGAAATGTTTTAAACCTTTATTTAACCAGATGGTCCCATTGAGATCATCGATCTCTTTTTCAAGGGAGACCTGTCCAACATGGCAACAAGTAGGTTACAACATGAACATAAAACAACAGATAACACAAAAGGACATCGTATTTACATTTTCCCCTTTATTTTTCAATATCGCGATAAATATCGTACCGTGGACTTTTTATCGCGATATTATCGTACCGTGAGTTTTTGGTATCGTTACATCCCTACTAATTAGACCAGAAAATAAAATATTAGCATCAAATTGTGCAATAACACTAAGAAAGCAATACTAAGAGATACCAAAATGTAAAATCGCAAATATCTAAGCTAAGCTAAACTATAAAATCTATCTCATGTCACTAAATGGAAATCTAAAATCTGATGTCATTTAGGAGATCTTCATTCCTCAGCTGGACATCATGGGATGGTTAGTTAGTTTGACAAGAATTAGCAGCACACCACCAACATTTTACCAGTGCTACTTTTGGTATTTGAAGTGATTTATGGCCTTATAAACATAACATCCTCAAACTCCTGCTACACTTTGCAGACATTTAAAACAATTCTAAGAATTCTAAAATGTTCCCCTCAAACAAATAAAGTACATAAAGTAGAGTTGTGAGATAACTTTAGTAAATGCAATAATCTCTGCCCACGTAAAAGGGAGATTACCTTGGCTCTATTTCATTCTCAAGCGTCACATGAGTTTTTGGATGCTGCCTGTGCAAACAACACCAGTTAAATGCTGGTTGCTTCAGCTGAGTCGACAAAGTGTGCACATTTATCAGCAGGGACTTCTTTATTTTGCTCTAATAATGCCAAGAAGATAATTAACACCACTCGTGCAGAAACTGATCTTCTATACATAATGTGATCTTATGAAAGGCATATTGTTTCCGCCTGGGAGACCTATTCATTAGAAGTTTCTAATGTCAAAGAGTCACACAAAAGACAAAGTCAACTCCCTGCTGTCTGATATTAAAACAACAGGAAACTAAAAGCAACATCATACAATCTGATAACCACATTTAGGTTTAGTAGAGCTCATGGAGTTATAAAGTTATAATATTCAAAACATGAATGACTTTATTATGAGGTGCGTACAACAACATTGTTATCGTTTGCTTTAGTTATCATCGGTTTTGATTTGTAGTCTATTACATGGTATAAAGAAAGGCAAAGCATAAACTAAGAGCCAATATAAAAACACGAGCCTCATTTATTTTCTGTAAATTCTGTTCCTGTTCTGTTATAGCCTTTGGAACATCAGTGGACATTTTGGATGGGCTTTTTGTCTCAAAAACATTGCTGTATTAATTTTAGGGGTCGGTAAAAACGTCATAAAAACATTCCTGACTCATGCTGTAGTATCCTAAATTACGCTAGTATCTAGTATCGACATTTTAGACTGAAATACAAGCGGTATAATGTGTTATGTTTCCATCCAGGTTATTAATGTGCATTACATTTAAAGTAAGGCTAACAGACACACTAAACATTTGAAGTACCGTTAAATATACTGTTAATAGGAACAGTGTCACACAAATGGAGTGAAGCCTGCGAGGCTAGTTCAGGCAGTCATCTCGAGCACTAATGAAAGATATACACGTAAAATTCCTTACCCGCTCATATAACCAACCAAACACTTTCTCCCTAATCTGGAGCTCTATTTAAAATGCAATATTTGCTACAGTGTATATCTCTCTCTGCCTCGCTAACGCTGCTGCTGCCGCCCTGCTTCTGCAAGGTTGCTCTATGATTCCAAATAGAGTGGTGCAGTGCAGTGGTGTCCTAAAACCCGGAAGTAAGCTGCGCATGGGTACCTTCCGGTTCCCTCGGCAAAAAAACAATGCAATTCCTCCATAGGATTTTGGAAAATAGCTCGAAATAAGGTCTGTGGTTGACACACATTTAAGAGACGGATCACGTTTTGTTCAGTCGGATAATCTCCACATGTCTACCCTACTTTTATAATTGTCTAATCATAAATCTAATCGATAGATTTATGATCGATAGATTTAATTGCATTGCTTTTTTGTCGAGGGAACCGGAAGGTACCCATGCGCAGCTTACTTCCGGGTTTTAGGATGCGTCACTGCGCCACTCTATGCCGCACAGACAAAAAAAAACGAAATACATTTCTTGTAAGATGCTTTAGTAAATGTCAATTTAAACTTCAAATTGATTGCTTTGGCTCCATTGGAACAAACTATGAGGGCTTTTAATTTAAAAGGCTGTATTAGATTTGATGAAACTTTAATGATTCCAATTGGGAGCTCAATATCTCATAAATGTACTCAGACCCCATTAACCTAGATTTAATCTAGTGGCAGTAGGTATTTAGTGTTTGATGATTTCATGGTTTTTGTGTTGATAGATATTACTTTTAAGCTAACAATTAGTGAGAGTATTCATTTTATCATCACATCCTTACAATTCAAAAAGAACACCAAGTGGTTATGAAACAGTCATACTTGTATTGTGCAGTACTGCTCACAGACATGGCCTGCCAGCTGCCTTCATTTGATTATATTGAAAAAAGGTGGTAGGTCGCTCAATTCAAAGCGCAGAATAATGTGGTAGTATTAGGGCTGCTTGATTATGGCAAAAATCATAATTTCGATTATTTGGGTCAATAATTGATATCACGATTATTAAAAACGATTATCCATTTACTTTGAAAACATCAATCTATTGGAGAAAAAATGTGAACAGTATGTTTTTAACAGTTGATTACCCTGAACTTTAAGTATAATTCAACTGAAAAACAAAAACAAAAAAAATGTATTTGAAAAATAAATAAAAATAAGTAATAATAATAATTATTTGTTTTATAATAATAATTGTTTTCATAATTGTTGCAAGCCATAATCGTAATTGCGATTAAAATATGATTAATTGAGCAGCCCTAGGTAGTATTATGACTAGGTAACGTCTGTGCCAAGATGACTTCAACTAAGTGGTACCAAAAGGTTATGCAAAATGCCAACTATTGTGATGTTTAAAGAATCTTCTGTTGTTCATGAATGTACTCTGCAGTGATCATATTCATATTTGTATGTACTGCGTCTCCATGCTTTAATGTTCAAAAAGCTCTTTATCTTTCTCATACTGCCTGTGCTGCTGCACCTCTTTTCACCCTCTGTCTGAAACCAGAGCCCAGTCTGCTCTGATTGGTTAGCTGACTGGCTCTGTTATGATTGGTCAACCGCTCAGAGATGCCCCTTAGCCTATCACCAACAATGTGTTGGAGAGCTAGCGAACAGAAGTGTGAGTGTTACATTGTGATGTCACTATGTGGTGGAAGTAAATAAAGGAGTCCAAAGGAGGTGTTTTAGGCAGGGGGGGATTTGAGCCTTTGGAGACCATTTACATGCAAAAAAAAACTATATAACACACAACAGAAAAAAAAAGAAAGAAAAACCAAGCATAACTGTGTCATTCTAATAACGTGTTACCACTATTATATTTTTGTACAGAGTATTATTTTCACCTTTGAGAGATACATCTATAGCTGTTATGTGAGATCTGTATGAGAGCAGATTTACTTAATTCTGAATTCAGCATAGTTTATACTTTACAAATGAGAGTGGCTGTCTGCATGTGTGTCTTGTTCAATATCATGTGTGTGTGTGTGTGTGTGTGTGTGTGTGTGTGTGTGTGTGTGTGTGTGTGTGTGTGTGTGTGTGTGTGTGTGTGTGTGTGTGTGCGTGTGTGTGTGTTATTCACACTTGCAATGCTCATCTGCAAAATCTCTCTGAACACAATTTCTAATTGTGTATATTTAGTGTGAGTCTGTGTGCCAGAGTATGAATGTGTGTTTGTATGACTGTGTGTCAATGTGTGTTGGAACCAGTGCCAGTGTGCAGCTGAGTCCCACAATGCCCCTCTGTACAGCCCACTCTCACTCTACCCAACGGCTCCCTGAGCTCCCCCACACGCCAATTCATGTTTTTTTAATGCGTGTGATTCTCCTGTTTCAATGGTTTCTTAGAGTTCTCCTCTCAGAGTTTCAGTCACAATGGTGAGTCTCATTTCTTTCTGTTATTTCATCTGCTTCACCACTTCCCATCCAATTCTCAATTTGTATTTAACCGTCACACATTGTCTGATAATTGAATACGTGATTACAATCCTCTGACAATAAAAATACATTTGTATCACTCTGTCATTATGGCTCAACCTGAACCCAGTTGATTAAAACGTTACTGTTGCTTGTGAAAACACACATCTTGCGGATGTTATTTGGCAGTTATAAAAAAAAAATGAATATGCTGTACAGGAAGTTATCAAAGATGTACCATTTTTCTTAGGACTTTCCAAGCGGTCACTGGCATAGCCGCGGGAAGTCATTTTACTTACTTACCCAGCATCCCTACTTCCCTCGGCTATGGTCACTGGAGCCTTTGCACCACCATCTACAATATTTCCCTTTTTTGTAGCTGCACAGTAAGCAGCTCATTCTAGTCATATTGTGTGTTGAACTACAGTTTCTATCACATATACACTTATATACAACAAGATGTTTTGTTATTTTTATGAATGAAGGAATCAAGACCATGTAACAACAACAACTTCTATACGTTAATGGAGCTAACGTCACAACAAAATAAGAATAATGCTATTTTCCTGTATTCTTAGCCACTGTGACCCCTATACTGACTGTACAGCCTGGTGCAGTCAGTGTACAGTGTACTTCCTACATCATATAGATTTCATAAAATGTAATTCAAATAGAAGATGTATTCAAACTCCTGCCCTCAATATTTGATTGGCAGGG